GTATTTACACAGTAATATAAAAGAGAAACGGGATAATGCTGAGTCAGCGTTCATACAGTAATAAGAGAAACGGGATCACTGTAATGTTGAGTCAGTATTTACACAGTAATAACAAAGAGAAAAAGGATCACTGTCATGCTTAGTCAGTGTTCATACAGTACTAAGAGAAACAGGATCACTGTAATGCTGAGTCAGCGTTCAGGCAGCATGAATCAGTCCTTTAAGTCCTCTCCTTCCTGCAGACTGGACGTCCGGTGGCAAACTTCAAGCAGCACGGCGGTCCCATCACATCCGTGGAGTGGAGCCCCGCGGACTCCAGCGTGTTCGCTGCGTCCGGAGCCGACGACGTCATCAGCCAGTGGGATCTCTCCGTGGAGTCGTCCGACGTGGGTGCCAGGGTGGAGGGGGTGAAGGACCTGCCACCCCAGCTGCTGTTCCTGCACCAGGGTCAGTCGGAGATCAAAGAAATCCACTGGCACCCGCAAATACCCGGCGCCATGATCTCCACGGCCCTGTCAGGGTTCAACGTGTTCAGGACTATATCTGTGTAGCGTCTGTTACATCAAAAACTTGTATTTTAGTCGTAAACATTTAAAATGAATATAATGTAAATAACTCTGCTGTAAAAGTAACCTACTTTGAGGCGTTTATTTGCCCACATGTTGCTCCTATTGAACTTCCTGTCTGTGTTTTACAGATGTGCAAACTATTTTAAGCATGTCCTGTACATTACTTGGAATAAAATGCTTAAACTTTTAAATTGAAACTTTACGTTTTGTTTTACGCGTCTTACTTCTGAAGGGAAACCTTACTTTTGTAATTGATGGGAAAACTAAACTTATAAACCGTATGTATGCGTCATTGGAGATTGATATATTGTCATTTGGCGATTAACTTTGTTTTAAAATATTAAAGCGTAGCAATATTTGGACAGAACTTTTTATTCCAGTTAGGCTGTTCCTAAGCGGACAATGATGATTTTGACTGTGTTTGTGTGTCTGTTAGCAAAATATTAGATGAACCACTGGATGGAGTTTTGTGAATCTTTGAAGAAACTTTAATTGGATGGACCTCTACGACTGATTAACTAATGGAGCCAACCCTGTTCAAGATGGCCGCTGTGGCTGATCAACATTAGTCGACAAAAAAGCAGCTATAATTCAGTCAGTTTTACAGACACTGAGCTAAGCTTTGGTTTGGTAGTAGCTGAGGCTCGTTCCAAACGCATTCTGAGCTTGCAATAATCAGAGGAAGTTGTACACATTTTTTTTAAGTTTTGACTTTCAGCTTAAGAAGATCTGAAAAGCAGTTGTAAATATATTTTCCTTTAACTGATGCATTATGACTTTAGTGCATTTTTCACTCTGCTTAATTAAAATTAGAGATGCACGATATTGGATTTTTGGTAGATATCCGATATGCCAATATGTTAAAACTTATCTGGCTGATATTTTTCCCCCTACCTCTACTTACAGACTACATAGCTTTCTCTGCTGTGGAATTAAACTACTACATTATTCTGCATGGTCTTTGTCAATTTGACCTGCTACCAAATGCAGATAAAGGGGGCTGAAATGATGCAACACTTTAACTTGGATTATGTTTAATGTCAAATTTATTCATGACATTTACTCTTAACTCAATGACAACACTCGAACAGTGCAAATTTGTAACTTCACAAATCTAAACGGCACGTGTGACGTCTTAATGTGCTGGTGCTGCAGGCATCCTTGGCACTGGGTTGTCATACAAAAAACACACACACACACACACATATATATATATATATATATATATATATATATATATATATATATATATATATAGAGTCTCGCAAAAATATTTCCCCCCCCCCCTTGAACTTTTCAACCTTTTGCTACATTTCAGGCTTCAAACAAAGATATAAAATTTAATTTTTTTGTGAAGAATCAACAACAAGGGGACACAATTGTGAAGTGGAATGAAATTTATTGGATGTGTCAAACTTTTTCAACAAATAAAAAACTGAAAAGTGGGGCGTACAATATTATTCGGCCCCCTTGCGTTAATACTTTGTAGTTCCGCCTTTTGCTGCAGTTCCAGCTGCAAGTCTCTTGGGGTATGTCTCTATCAGTTTTGAACATGGAGACACTGAACTTTTTGCCAATTCTTCCTGCAAAACAGCTCGAGCTCAGTGAGGTTGGATGGAGAGCATTTGTGAACAGCAGTCTTCAGCTCTTTCCACAGATTCTCGATTGGATTCAGGTCTGGACTTTGACTTGGCCATTCCAACACCTGGATACGTTTATTTGTGAACCATTCCATTGTAGATTTGGCTTCATGTTTTGGATCATTGTCTTGTTGGAAGATAAATCTCTGTCCCAGTCTCAGGTCACTTGCAGACTCAAACAGGCTTTCTTCCAGAATGGTCCTGTATTTGGCCCCATCCATCTTCCCATCAATTCTGATACACCTGGACCTATACCTGGACCTGCCATTCTGTGTTCGTCTGTCTCTCCTTCCTGTCCTCTCAACCAGCCGGTCAAAGCAGATGGCCGCTTTTCCTGAGCCTGGTTCTGCTGGAGGTTTCTTCCTTTTAAAAGGGAGCTTTTCCTTTCCATTGTTGCCACTGTGCTTGCTCAGGATGGGAGACTGCAACGAAGCCAAGATTCAACTTGTCTGCTGGATTCCTTAGATAGAGAACTTTACTAATTGGCTTTTATGTATGTGAATGTTTCTGTAAAGTGCCCTGAGACAACTTTGTTGTGATTTGACACTATATAAATAAACTGAATTGAATAAATTCTGACCATTTTCCCTGTCCCTGCTGATGAAAAGCAGGCCCAAACCATGATGCTGCCACCACCATGTTTGACAGTGAGGATGGTGTGTTCAGGGTGATGAGCTGTGTTGCTTTTACACCAAACATATTGTTTTGCATTGTGGCCAAACAGTTGGATTTTGTTTCATGTGACCAGAGCACCTTCTTCCACATGTTTGGTGTGTCTCCCAGGTGCTTGTGACAAACTTTAAACAACACTTTTTATGGATATCTTTGAGAAATGGCTTTCTTCTTGCCACTCTTCCATAAAGGCCAGATTTGTGCAGTGTACGACTGATTGTTGTCCTATGGACAGACTCTCCCACCTCAGCTGTAGATCTCTGCAGTTCATCCAGAGTGATCATGGGCCTCTTGGCTGCATCTCTGATCAGTCTTCTCCTTGTTTGAGATGAAAGTTTAGAGGGACGGCCGGGTCTTGGTAGATTTGCAGTGGTCTGATACTCCTTCCATTTCAATATGATTGCTTGCACAGTGCTCCTTGGGATGTTTAAAGCTTGGGAAACCTTTTTGTATCCAAATCCGGCTTTAAACTTCTCCACAACAGTATCTCGGACCTGCCTGGTGTGTTCCTTAGTCTTCATGATGCTCTCTGCACTTTGAACAGAACCCTGAGACTATCACAGAGCAGATGCATTTATACGGAGACTTGATTACACACAGGTGGATTCTATTTATCATCATCAGTCATTTGGGACAACATTGGATCATTCATAGATCCTCACTGAACTTCTGGAGTGAGTTTGCTGCACTGAAAGTAAAGGGGCCCAATAATATTGCACGCCCCACTTTTCAGATTTTTATTTGTTAAAAAAGTTTGACACATGCAATAAATTTCATTCCACTTCACGATTGTGTCCCACTTGTTGTTGATTCTTCACAAAAAATTAAATTTTATATCTTTGTTTGAAGCCTGAAATGTGGCAAAAGGTTGAAAAGTTCAAGGAGGCCGAATACTTTCGCAAGGCACTATATATATAATTTAAACAGCACCTTTTATATCGGTGAATAAATGATGGAATGGCAGATATTTAAGTTTAACGACCGATGTATCGGTGTATCGACTGATATAATATCGACCGATACGGTGCCAATATTATTGTGCATCCCTAGTTAAAATGGTAATCTGCATATAAAAGTCAGGACACTTACAAATAAATGCAAGGGGGAAAAAAGCCTGAGTTATTATTTAAAACCCAATAATAAGTTTAATGTTTTTTACTGCAATTCTTACTCAGCCACAGATATAATTAAACCAGCATTTCAGGACAAATGAATAAAAACAGTCTCCCATTTACAGCATCTAGTAACAAAATCATAAGCAAAAGGGTATTACAAGCAACAAGTGTACTAAAATACACGGCTCGTCCTGATTTATGATTGACCTTTGAATCCCATGATCGTCATTTTCTTTTAAGTATCAACTCATAAAAAAACCCTAAGGATAGTTTTGGTAAAGCGGAAAACTTGCACAAAAAAAAAAATACATTTAGAAGTGGTTTGGTCTGGAGCGAAAAGCCTCACATTCCTAGATTTGGAATGTGACAAATTCACAGTAATTCATTTTCAACACTGTCTGAGGACTCGGGAAACCAGTTTAAAACCAAGATGAGACTGTATTAAACATTAAAATAAAACTTAATATGTTTTATTGTAGGCATACGCGTCCCTTTAAGGCACAATAAGGTGAAGTTCAACAGACCTACTGTGTACATTTTGCATTTCAGATATAAAACATACAAAAATATTGATAAAAACAGATTCATTTGGTTTCAAACTTTTTTTTTCCAGGTGAATAAAATGAGTTAAAAGTGCTTCAAACTTTTTCACCATTTCAACGACTGAATGACACAAAGTTCTCTTCTGAACGTTCGTTATGTAAAAAAAAAAGAAAGTGTTTTCCAGTTGATTAGTGTCGTCTTAAAGCGGTGGTTCAGATCTTTAAAAGTGGGACTTTGTTGAAAGATTGTGAAGAGTTAATATCTTACCTGTTGCAGATGGCTCTTTATAATGACCTCGTCTGTGTTTTTACTGTAGTCGGATTCTGTGGGTGGGACAAAATTATTGATACGCTCCTGAAAAGGAATTCAGACTCGAGAGGTCGGATTTCTGATCAGCCCTGACCTTGAAATCCAATATGGCTGAAAAGTCGCTAAAAATGCACAAATAAACTTTTGGTTTTAACTTTTATCAGTTCGTATCTCAGTAACCTGGTCACAAACATCGTAATGTCCAACCTCGATCAGTGATCGTGTTGCTACAGCGCCTAAAATCAAAACGTGTGCATTTTATATCGGATTGACGAGCCAACGGCAAATCCGAGGAAGGCGGAGACTAAAGTTGATTACTGCCGCTTTAAAGCAATTCTAATCTTAAATATTTCATAGCAGTTCACGCCAGTACTACTTTATATCACCAAAGAACACGTGGTTATTTCATGGATGGATATTTGAAAGCGCTAAAAGTAGCAGCAACAGCTAGCACAGCTTGCACACAGTGTTTGCATCAACGAATAGGGTTTTTTAAAATTTATTCTTGACAGATGTTTCACTTTAATTTTTTTGTGCATTTAATAGCAGATTCTCAGAGTCCTCAAGATTCAACATTTGTATAATTCCAGCCAACTTCTAGCCATCGTCAGCGATGAGTAGTTTAAAGACGACATCTTTAAACTCGGACTAGCCGTTAGCTTGTCAGTCTGGTTGGAGTTAAAACCTGTTTGTCTCATACCGAGATCGCTCAAAGGTAGCGACTTGTTACAACAGGTAAGATATTAATTGTTCATAACCTTTCCACAAAAGCCCATTTCAGAATATATGAACTGTCTCTTTAGTTGTATTCTTGCTGTTTATTTTAAATGTCCCAGCTTGCGTCCAGATGTTTTTTGTTTTGTTGGTTTCTGCCTCCCATTTGATGAAAATACAGTATACTTTACAGCAAGACTCTTTTTTTTTTCAGGAAATCAATGTTTATACAACAATTTCATCGTCATCAAACTCATCTTCAAACGTGTAGCCGCGTCCTGATACCTCCTCCTCTTCTTCTGAATCTGTCTCTGAGCTCTCAAACCTCCTCCTGTCCAGCGGAGTGACTCCTTCATACTCTGAGCTGTGTGATGAAGCCGGACTGGGAGGCAGATCCGCTCTGTGATTGGTGAACTCGGTCTCACCCTTTATCCTGTCGCCCTCGCTCCTCACCGGACTGTGACACTCCAGCTGATCGTCGCTCTGGAAGCCAAAGGTTTGACCCTCTTCTTCCTCAGACGCCTGGCGGATGATCTCCTCTCGCTTGTCGCTGAATCTGACTTTTGGTCGGAGCACCCTGGGCTTGAACCCGTTCTCGTCCGGTGTCCTGCCGTCTTCCACCTGGTTCTCGTTCAGATCATTCTGCACCTTCATGGACGTCTCCGTTCCCCTCCTGGCCTGTTTTGTTTCCACTGCAGGGACGGCACGCTGGGGGCTGAACACATCAACCTCATTAGAGTCAGGCGCCATACCGTCCATCACTCCTAATACGTCACCGAGCATCGACGGGCCCAGGTCCAGGTCCAGGTCTAGGTCTAGGTCCAAGGTGAATGAAGACGCTGAATCAGAGCGCTTAAGCGGACTCTCTGCCGGAGGAGATGCTGGGCTGAGATCACCGTTGTTGACTGACACTCTGGGTTCTGCAGCCGGGGCGACCCCAGGACTGCTCAGCTCAGACGTGGTCGGGCTCGGACCTACAGTGGACAGGAAGGAGGTGTCTCCGAAGGCGTCCCCGCCCCTCCCGATGTGCATGGTGTGGCGGAAGTCGCCCAGAGGGGCTGAGATCATTGTAGGGTCCAGGCGAGGAGCCCGGGATGATTTGTGGAGCGGCATCGCTGTGAAGACACTGCGTCTGGAAAAGGAAACACAAAACAAAACCGTGAGACGGAAAGAAGAGGACACTGAAACGTTGGTGAATCCTCCTGGTGAAAAAGTCAGCACGTTGTGCAATAATCTGGGAAACCGATGAGGATATTGGCTGTGGTCCGTCTGTGAAGGCCATGCTGAGACTTGTACTTGAAGCACAGAGTGTGCAGCGTTAGCACATACTTTTCTCTGCCCTCAGGGAGTCTGAAGACAAAAACAAGACTGTACCCTTAAAAAAAAAATCTTTCATTTCAAACCTCCTCAACTGGAAACAACCCCACACAGTCCAGTAACACCATGTGTTAACCATTAAATATGGACTACATTCAAAGTGTGACTGGATCTTTATTAATATTTAATATTGAAGGGGGAGCAGAGTCCAAAGCATGAGAGTGAGGGGAGGGGGGGCTTACAGGCCCAACCCTCAAAAACTCCCCATTAATGTTTATAAAGATTTTAAAAAACACGTTTTAATAACTTTAACTACTGTTGAGACGAGTGGTGAAGCCGTTGGAGCACCGAGCAGAAAGACAGCTTATCGAGTGAAACCCAAACCTTTACAAAGTGATTAAAAACTTACTTTGAGGAGTTTTCTTGTCTTTCCCTGCTTCCCGCCTCAATGTCCGACTTTTTCCATTTGTCTGTCCGCCTGTTTCTAACTCTTTTCCCTCGCTGTTTCCTCGCCGTCGTTTTGCCTGTGAGTTTTTTTTTTTTTTTCCAAAGGGATGGGCTCATGGAGTGAGGAAGTGACGCGGAGCCTCGGCTCATGAGAAAACACAACCAGGAGCAAAACGACCGAAAATAAACAACGCTTTGAAAACTAAACCCCTTTGTAAATAAGTTTTTTATTTATTTATTTTATTTAAAGTGGCAGCATATTACAAGCACAAACTAGAGAAATTCAGCTGAAAGCAGCGGAACACAAGCTAAAAGTAGCAACATGCTATGTAAACTGCGCAAGGTAACTTGAAGTTAAAAGTAGCAAACGGCTAGGTAAAAGCTAAATGTAGCAAAAGAAGCTAAACACCAAAACAACATTAAAGGTAGGCTAAAAGTAAAATGTAATAAAATGGCCAAAAAAGTCAATGAGACAAAAGGCTAAATAGCTAAAGACTAGATATCCTGATGCATGCTCAATAATCCAGATAGAAAAATCTAAAAAAGTTAAGTCAGGTCCTGTCTGGAGACATAAAACAAATAATAATAATGTTGTAACGTTTTGTTTTTAATCCAAAAGACTGCCAGTCTGAGGAGATGTATTGTAATGAGCTGCAGTCATAAATAACATCTTATCACAGTGGATCAATCGGTTTGCTGTTGACCTTCAAAACTAGCTGTTCACATAGGGAGAACCATCAGACTTACAAAGGATCGTTAGTACACTGATGGCCATTTGCTATTCACATGGTCACATGACAAGGGAGGACCAT